TGCATAGTGCATCGATCGACGCGGAGGATAAGCAGCAATGCGCTACTCACTGCACCGAGCGGAGTGGGTAATTATAAGTAGGTTACTGTTCAAGTATCCTTACCTTTGTTTTTCGCACCTGGATCTCTCCTTTTGCCCCTTCTTCCAATCTGCAATGGTCTCCCAGACAACTTGGACGTCGCTTCCCAAAGGTCGTGTCCAAATAGTATTGTAATTAATGTACCACGAAACACATGGCAGCTTATGAAGCCTCATCAGTCACTGAATCTGAAGACCAACATGAGGACACTGGTGCAAATAGGTTAACAACCTTGCCCTTAGAAACCGATATTTGCTGTGTATCGGAGACTTGAATTTAAGATCCAACTACTATAAGCCACATGAGTGTACTAGATTTGTTCTCGAGGTACGTTCTTCGCCCAACAGGTGACGACTAAGCCCATTCAGTAGGTCAGCACGAAGTAGGTATTGCACTCTATAATAGGTCCGAGTCCTCTGTGTCGGTTACGTCCCCATCAACAGTCGTTAATGTGCTATGCGGATCCACGGTTCTATCAGCGTCCGGAAGTGAAGCAACACCACAAGGTGTTTGTTCACCGCATCGACATAAGCACCGATCAAGTGTAGTCTAATAAAAAGGACGATTTCTACGATAAACCCACCGAACTCATTCGGTTGAGTAGATGCTCCGACAGGTGATTTTAACGCGCAGGTTGGAAAACTGGGCGCATCAAAAGCTTTCCCAGCTGGTAGCTATGTTCTACCATGCCAGCGAGCAAATCACGGTGATCGACTCCTTTCGTTCCGCGCAGACCACCATCTTATCCGGTACCAACTTCCGACAGAGGGCAACGTAGTGCTTCCATTCAGCTGGCACATTAACTGAAATAGACTACATAGCTTACTGCGAATTAAAAATGCCCAGGTATTCCTAGAACTTAGGTGGTGCAGTGATTTCGCTGGACGGAAGACTTTCGACCTAACACATCTAACTTTAGCGATACTCACGCGGTGCTGCAAAAACAACAGTTGTTGAAAACAGATAATCGGTGATCACTATCTGCTCGGATGCCAGGTTTTGCAACTGTAGTTCAATACAATATGTACCGCTGTGCCAAGTACATGGAATTTCAGTGGAGGGTAATGTAGCTCCCGCGCAGTACATGTTGAAGATCGGTAAACGAAAATATCCCTCGAATTGTACGTTGGGAGATCTCACTCAGAGCTTCGCCAGTCAATGTGCAACTTCAAAAATAGACCGAGTTTTCAATCATCTTCCGTCACTACCAGGCAGGAGTGCACTCACAAACCGGCACCTTGCACTTCGAAGGAACACACAATGTCATACTGAGCAACCTCAAGAGTCAAGCGGCTTAGCACGGCTTGCATCGCATAAGGAGACAGCGAGAAAAGCAATATCATTGGCATACTCAAGTTCCATGACTCTATTTGAAGGATAAAGCTCGACACCGGAGGTCACTACACGAAATCACACGTTTCGGGGATCTTCTATAACCCTACTTGATATTGTTTTAGACAAGGGTCTCCGGACTGATTGGACACACTTTGGGAACCGCTAATTAGGGTACCCTATGGCATCTCCTCATGATTTTGGAGTTCGGCCAGATCTACTGAATGCTTTATTTGAATAACCTACAAACGGAACACACCCAATCCCCGACAGTAAGAAGCGTTCTTGAGCTCTCCAAATCAATCCTGGTGACTCAAGGGGCGTTTGTTTACTTTCGTTTACAATCTGTACATAAAGGACCCTCGTATTTCCCACGGTTTATGGGTTGCAAGCAGATGGCGTTATTAGGTGTTTGTACATTGATCCTTCTTCACTCGACACTTCCAGATTGCTCGACTAACTTTTGTCGCCGGTCTATATGCTGTTCCCTTCTACTCAGTGTTCAAAAGTTTTTGTTAAGATTCCTTTAATTCTTGAACTGTGTGCATTACATCAATCGATCTACCGTAATCTTTCCTCAAAACGTTCTATGTAAGTTAGCACTGTCCGTCAGGCAGTTTGGTATGACATTTTCTCTATCGAAATGTAAGGTGTTACTACAAGACTGGCAAGAGGCTACACCCGTCCTCACGCTTATTTTCTTTTCCATTTTACTTCCTTTTATTGAATATACAAAGATACAACAATTTTTCAGGAAAAGGGAAGCGGCCAATCAGAGGGCTGCCATACAACACATAGAGGGGAAATTCAGGCAGTGGTGATGGGGTTCGAACACATCCCCGGGGTGATAATTTGGTGACGTTACCACCGGGCCACCACCGCCAGTTGGAAATCGTCGATCACTTNTTATCTCGGGAGTTGCTTCAGCTCAAGAGGACTGACGGAAGAAATATCAGCGCGTATCCGCAAGGCTCGAGTGGCCTTCGCTATCCTACGTCACTTGTGGCGCTGACGCGATGTCTCTCCTTGAAAGGCCGCGTTTACAATGCAACAGTACGCTCTGTCCTACTCTACGGCTGAGAGCGTTGACCCCTCCACGCACAAGACGTACGGAGATTAAGTGTCTTTGACCACCGTTGTCTTCGTTGCATCGCCAGAATACGTTGAAAACTGAATCACCGAGGTTCGCCAAAGAATTTTCACCGCAGATAATCTCAGTCGTCTTCTGAGTGCCGCCATCTCACCCCCAGAGACTTCGATGGCTAAAACGTGTTGCGGATGCCGGCTCAACGATTGCCCCATCGTGTTGTTTGCGCAAGCAGACACCAACTGGAAGCGGCGACACGGTAGACAGCGAATAACCTGGGCGCTAACCTCAAAACTGGCAGTGGTAGGGCGCTCTAGACTCCCGGGTTGGGGGTCCAAGGACAG